GCCCCGCGCCTGGCCGTGGGGCCCCCGTGCAGGGCCAGCGCCCGCCCGCGCAGCAGGCGCCGCCCGCGCGTGGCCCCGCCCCGGCTCCCGCGCGTGCTGCGGCGCCGCCGGCGCAGCCCGTTGCGCGGCCCGCGCCGGCCCCTGCACCCGTCCAGGCCGCCCCCAGGCCCGCCCCGGCCCCGCCTGCGCCCGAGTCTGTCGACGATGGCGACGCGGGCGGCATGTCAAAGAGCCAGAAGAAGAGGCTGAGGAAGGCCAAGAGGGACGGCAAGGCGTGAAGACACGACATGTCTGGCGTCTGAGGAGGGCGGGCCGCCACGCCCATGGGCGTTGGGGCCCTGCCCTCTCCCAGTGCCAAGTCGCAGCCGCAATAGATGCACGAAACCGGCGGGCAGCAGCGACACCGCAGCGGCCAAAGCGCCGGATTTTGGCACATTTGTGCGGCGCGCGGCGGGGCGGCGCGGCCACGCCTTTGTAGCGGCCAAGGGACCCGTGCCCCTTGCTTGCTCTTTGGCAGATGTCCTGTGGCCACGCGCCCCGCCTTCCCGGCCACGCTCCCCCGATATCCGCTGGCCTTTGCCCGTGGCAGCAAAGCAGCGCACCCCTTCACGCGCAGCACTGCCGTTCCTTGCACACGTTCAAGCTATATATTCTCACCCCACAGAAACTGAAACCATGTGTAATGACGGCGAAAGGCATACGGGACGAATTTGGCTGCTCAGCGCCACCGCTTTAATACAACCACGCAAGACTGACACATGCCTGGCCAATAAGCAGCTGCTGTCCCTGCTGCGCTGCTCAACTGCCCCTTTGCACCCAGTCAACTGTCCCTTTGCACCCATTTCTACAATCCGGAGGAGACCACACTCAGGCCGACAACGTTACAGCATTAGGATCAGCCCCTGTGTCGCCGACCAGACCAGCGCCTCGATGGCAGCGATGCCATGGGCATGGCAAGAAGCGCTCGAGGCGCTTACTTGTACTGCAAGGCAAAGAAAAAGGGGAGAGCGAAGGAGGGGGTGAGCCGGCGAGCCCGCTGCCTGGCATGGTGCAGATGGGGCCTGCTTCGGGCCGGCAGACCCGTCCCCTCGCATGCGATGGCGGGAGAGGGCCCAGCAGGCGGCCCCTCCACAGCACCCCACGGTTGTGCGCGGGGGGGGGGCACCTCCGCCTCGTTAGTACAACGCAGCCGCCCAAGTTACCTTGACGAAGCCAATGTCCTTGGCGTAGTCGCGGAAGCACTGGCGGCAGACTGCAGTGGGTGCGTTTTGGGGGGCGGGGGCACATGAGGTGGTGGCATCGCGAAGCGTTTGCAAGCGCGTGGTGATGGGCTAAGCAACATCCAGGTGGTGCCGGCACGGCCGACAGCCAGGCAGGCGTGCTGATTCAGAGGGGGGCCGCCGGGGCGCGCATCCCGAGGCACTGCCAGCTCTGCTACCCATGCAACTCACTGTTCAGGCCATACTTGCGGATGATGCCGCCGCCGTTGCCGCACACGCGGCTGCAAGTGGACGGTGCGGCGGGCGAGGGGGCATGGTGATGATCGACTACTGATTCCAGTGCCCCCAAGAACAAAAAAGGTTCCCTGCACATGGCACTCACGCCCTGACAGGCCGTGCTGCTCTGCTGCCGCAGGCGCCACCATTCCAGCGCCCTGCATGTGCTAGTGCCGCCGCTCACCAGGTGCGGCCACCCTTGCTGTAGTCCTTGGGGTGGCTGTTCCACACGTTCTCGAAACCCATGGTTGCGGTGGGGGTGTGCTTTTAACCACAGGGCTAGCAAGCGCCCTGCAAGCAGAAGGAACACCGCAGCAGCAGACCATGAGTGTGTGCAGCAGCACAAGTGCGGCGGCCCGAGCTCGACGAGAGGCGAGCATCCTAGAACGTCCTCATCCATATCTGGTGGCTGCACAAGTCTACGGCCTGGCATGCAGAGGGGTCCCCGTTGTCAGGACGGCTGCTCTGTGCTGGAAAGCCTGCCCGCGGCCTCGCCGGTCGTTTGCACCCCTGCGAAAGCTGGATCTCAACCCTCCCATAGCCTCCAAGCGCCTTGCGGGGGCCCAGCTGCACCAATCACACAGGCGAGGCCGCCTCCCGCGCGGGCTGGCTGCGGTGTTCCTAGCGCGCACCTTCAAAGCACAAGGAGTCTGGGGTTGATTCCAGTAAGGGCGAGGCGAACGTGTGCCCACGCTCTTGTCCCTTTCGCGCGGCCGCAGAAATCCTACGAGTAATTGACCGTACTCGACAGCAGACGCGGCTTGCTCACTGTCATGTACACCACTGAAACACGTTAATCATCTAGATTTCAAAGGCTTGCGTGATAGATCAGACTGGTGTTTTCGACCCAAGGAAAGGCCCAGCGCGAGCTCCACCCCGCTCTGCACAATGGCAGCTACGATGCAGGCCTTTAAGACCTGCGGGATTGCTCCTTCCCGGCCAATGGCTGCAGCGTTCACCCCGGCGCGGTGTGTGAAGCACGTTCGCCGCGCGGTGGTGGTGCGCGCTGCTGTCGATGGTGCGTAGACAATGGCGCTGCTCGCGCAGTGATACCTGAACCTGCCTTGCCGCGGGCGGCGTACAGGCTATGCTCTTGCAACGTACCACACGCATCTGCTTTGGTACGATAGGCAATGCGTTCTGGTTTGTGGCGTGGGGCGCACGCAACCCCTCGCTGCGCCGTGGCGGGGGCGGCATGCTGGCCAACCCCCAGCTCGCGGTGCGTGCAGCGGCGCATTGCAACCGCACACAACTCAGCCAGCCACCAATATAAATGATGGGCGCGTGACTCGCGGTGTGCAGAGGACGCTGAGCTGGAGGCCCGCCTGGCGAAGCTGAAGGCCGGCAAGCGCGAGACGACCGACGCCGAGAAGAAGCTGAAGCGGGCGGGCGGCGGCAAGCTGGGCGGTGCGTCCTCCGCCCCCTCCGCAGCTTAGGGATCACCCGCTTTTCTTGCTGCGGGGGACACGCGGCAGCCGTGTGAGGCGACATATGCAGAGCGTGCAGCTGTCGTCCTCCGCGCCCCATGTGCCACAGCAACCATACAGGCGGGCCGCTCGGCAAGGCAACTAACGAGCCCGTTTCCCCCCGCGCCCCGCAGCCCCCGGCCCGAAGAAGCCGGTGTACGATTTTACAGGGGAGACTGTTTACTGGGAGGGCAGCACCGCCAACGGCGACCTGGCCCTGAACATCGCGCTGGGGGCGACGCTGGTGTGGCTGCCGCTGTCGCTGGGCGCCATCGGGCGGCGCCAGTTCCTCAAGTACCGCTTCACGGACAAGCGGTTCACAGTCAGCGACTCGTTCCCCGGATATGGTGGGCGGGGGGGGGGGCGCACGAGCACGTTTCTGTGTGTGTGTGTGTGTGTGCATGCGGGCGGGCGCGGGTGCATCTGTGTGGTGTTTGTATGTGTGTGTGTATGTGTGTGTGTGAACAGATTGTGTGTGTGTGTCACATAGAGAGAGGGGAAATAGAGAGGGAGAGAGAGAGAGAGAGAGAGAGAGAGAGAGAGAGAGAGAGAGAGAGAGAGAGAGCTGTGAACATGGGCGAGAGGAGGAGACGGGCGAGTTGTCAGATATTTTCCACGGCACTGGATGCGC